CAGTTCTTATAGCAATATTCAAGTTGTTGCCTTCCAGTAATTATAAAGTATTAGTCTAAAATATTGATTTAACACTTTAATTGTAAAGTACCATTCAAACATTCATTTGTTATAATGACGCTACATATGTAAAACAATTCTTAATTATTATTATTATTATTTTAAAAAATTCCATTTTGATTTTTCGTTTCTTGTTTTGTTTTTTGTTTTATTCAAACAATTTATATCATTATATACACATTAATGACTCCATTTTTAATTATAATTTCAAAAATAACAAAGCAGATGAACTACGTACACTGTAGGTCTACTGAGAAGAGCAAAGTAATTTGATGAGATCCCTACACTCTGTAGGTAATTAGACATTGAATTTACTCAGGTATAAGTATATATATATATATATATATAATGCCGTCCTACACAGACTTATTATCTCAGGAATTCTAGACAGCTTCAAAAACTTTAGTTCAGGTTGTCTGTAGTATTCCTCTTTTAAATTTTTTTATCACAAACAACCAAAAATGAATAATATTTACATTTTATTTGAAATGTATTCATAAGAAATTAAGGCTTCCAAGGTGTTTTAAGGTATATCTGTATTATAAGTGAAATATTTAGAAGATCTGATTATAGTCATCTACAAAGAAATTTAGCATTGTGGGTAAAGTTAGAGGGTAGGCAGTAGAATGGAGAAAAACGTATACACCCAATAACTATGAAACAACCAATCACAGCAAGCCAATGCCATAAGGCAAATAAAGCGCTATATTTATGAAGAAAAAGTTTTGGAAACAGTGTTAGACTGTTTTCATTGAATTTGAGATTTTCCCGTCGATTGATTGGAGCGAAATGCTCAGTCTCAGGTTGACATATTGGCTTTTAGTGGATAACGATTTGGGTACTGGATTCGAGCCTCCGTGAGAACATCATCACTCACTGAGAAATGCAGGTACGTTCAGATGACGAGTCCCAAATAGGACGAAATGTGCATCCTGAATTCCACTGTTAGTCACTATCCATCAATTAAGTGTTCGACTGTATTTAACAAGATAACTAGTTTTTAAATATAAAGAGTATAACTCTGAGTTTCTCATATGAGACTCTGACAATCGTTCAGGATCTACAGCTGTGGGTGGTCTTAGTTCAGGATTTTGGTTAAGATGAAGTTATAGTTAGGGTTTAGTTTAGGATGAAAACTATTCCCCTCACTTCTGAACAATGTTCATATATTGTAAATTATTTAGAATAATCCTAGCGTGTTCAAAAAATGTTTCACGATGTAACCGCCACAAGGCTTCCTCAGCAGAATTATTCGAATTTTATTAACCATTACAATACATAGTCAAAAATGACATAAATTGAATTCAGTTCCTTTGAAGGTCACTTGTCGATAGACATTTGTACCAATGGAAAAATGTAAATAGTCATCACATATTTGTAATGAATAATCTTATGTGGAAAACACGTCAAATGAGGATAACTATCGCCAATGATCTTCCTGATTGCAGTAGATTGGATAATGAGACAGACAACGGGCAACGACGAAATAGGCATAAAATGGACTCACACAAAAAACTTGGAGGATCTGGACTTCGCCGGTGATATATATCTGATTTCCCACAAATTGGAAGATATGCGAGTGAAAAGCAACAAGTCGACAAAGGAAGAAGCATCAAAGATAGGAGAGTGTTCAGGTGAACATAGATAAAACAGAGGTGATGAAAATTCCTGGCCAACAGCAACAACAACAACAGACAACAATCAGCCAGCATAAATGGGAGGAACCTGAAAGAAACTACCTCCTTTACCTACCTGGGAAGTATCGTTTCAACTACAGGTGGAACTGACGAGGATATCAAAGCCAGAATCGGAAAAGCATGACAAGCTTTCATTACTCTCAAGTAAGTCTATGCGGAGGTCAACAGCACTCAGAATCAAGAATAACATCCGGATCTTCAACTCCAGTATGAAGTCAGTGCCACCTACTATACGGATCAGAGACTTGGCGCGTCATAAAGAGCATCTCAAACAAACTTCAGGTGTTCATTAACAGCTGTCTTCGCTCAATACTCAAGATCAGATGGCCAGAAAAGATCACCAACAGGGATCTCTGGGAGTAAACCAACCAGGAATCAATTGTGCAACAAATAGGCAGGAAGAAATGGAGATGGATTGGCCATACTCTGAGGAAACTATCAAGTGACATCACAAGACAAGCCATCGCTCGAATGGAACCCGAAAGGGAAACGGCGATTTGTTCGTCCTACGGTGAGGTGACTTGGAGGAGGTCATGTGAAAAGGAAATGAAAGCATGTGGCAGACTCGGAGAGGAGTGAAAATGTTGGCAGAAAACCGATGACAATAGAGACGCGTGGCTGAAGCCCTATGTTCCTCTAGGAATTAAAGGATATAATAATAATAATAATAATAATTTCACTGTGGTTTTAATATATACGATTGAATTTGTTTTTCTCTCTCATCTGTTTTGCTTCATTAGAGTCTACCATATAGGTGGTGATAAGTCTATTCCTTCTCTTCTGTTTACTGCATTCTATGTGGCTGAATTGTGTGAGGCTTTAGAGGTCCAGCTTTCTTTATGTGGTGAATGAAAGCCTCTTCGTCGAATTCCGACATTGTCGAAATCAATCTTATGTCCACTGTCTATAGTATTATGCATTTCTATAGCTGTTCTTTTTTCTAGACTTCTTAATTCTACATCATTTCTAGGTGTATATTTCATGCACAGATTATGTTCATTAACTCTGAGCTTCCTTCACCTATCTGCTGTTTCTCCCATATAGATCACGCTTCACATTCTGAACACTTTATTCTATAAACGTAGTTGTTTTGTGTCATTTTGTGAACCGTATCTTTGATATTCTCTAGAGAATTGGATGGCTTGAAATAAACTGTAATATTCTATGAAGCAAGTAGTCATTGAAGTTGTTCAGTTGTATCCCTTCGATGTGGAATGGCTATCGGCGATAGCCAAGATTTTTCATTTTTATGTTTTCCCTTCCGGTCCTTTTTATTGAAAATATAATTTAGAACCTTTTTTGGATAATCATTTACAATCAAAATTTGTTTTATATTGGAGATCTCGTTCTCCATGTTATTATTATCTGTTATAATGTTTCTAGCTGTATTAATGAGATTTAAGGTTACTGAAACTATCATTATTATTGGATGACCTGATCGGAAATTCAAATATTTGTTTGAATGTGTTGGTATCCTATATATCATGAACTTTAGTTTCTTTTCAGTTTGTTTTTTTTACAAGACAATCCAGGAAGTTTGGAGTTGATTCATCCGATTCTACTTCACTAGCAAACTTTATATATTTCTTGATATTAAGTTAGTCTGTATTAGAAAGTTTTCTTCTTTCAGCCTTTTTAATAATGATTAATGTGTCATCTGCATATCTATACCATAATCTAGGATGACAACTAAGACTTGTCGGTGTTTTTCTTTCTAAAGCTTTCATATACAGATTTTCTACAATTGGAGATACTGGTAATGCCATTGCAATTCCATTTGTCTGACAGTATAGTTTATCTTCAAGGATAAAATAGGTAGATTCTAAACAATGTTTTAAGAATCTTATAATGTCTTCTATTGTTATTTATTCTCTTGGGTACTGAGTGGGACACAGGACATAAATAGAAAATACCCCGCCCCCACTTCGTCCAGCTCTCGAAAGTCACCTCTAACTAGTTTTGATCTCCTCCTCCTCCTACTCCTCACATGGTCTCCTCCATATCACCATCAGACATCCAACTGGTCATTTCCCATTCGCATTCCCCTTACTTGCTTGTCTGGTGTGACGTCACTCAATGGTCTTCTCAGTGTGTGTCTAGTTCTTCTCCATTTTGTGCAGCATGTTTGTTGGGCTAAAGGTTCTTAGTTGACTTGCTGCCAGACCTCCTATTTGTTTATGCCTCCTGTCTAGCTGTCTGTCTGATATCCAGTATGAAGCTGATAAAAGTCTGTAGCCCGGTTGAGATGCTTTCGATGACACACAAAGCCCATGATTTCCAACTTCTACTGATTCGTGATTCTAGTGCGACTAGCATCAGTCAATGTTATTGGCTAGTATTCGTCTTCACTCCCAAAAGCGTGGACCCCACTTACCACAACTTCTCACAAGAACTCCCGCTAACTTCGTCCTACAGCCAGCTGAATTTTGCGTTCCTAATGTTACAGTGGGAATTATGAGACCCTTTTGTAAGTCATTAAACCACTATTCAAGTTTGACCATAGATTATTATTAATTCGAGAACCATTGGCTGGATGTCGGACGAAGTTATCAGGAGTTCTAGTGAGAAGTTGTGGTCAGTGGGCTTCAGTCGGTCGGGAGTGACGACAAACTGTCGCTGATGATATTGGCTGGTGCCAGTTACGTTAAAATCACCAATTGGGAGGAGTTATAATTCACGGACTGACCACTGAGTCGGGTCCGAGTGGCTGAATAGACTACTAGCTTGACTTGTAACCGGAAGGCCTTGGATTCAAACCACGGATTTTGCGTGCTGGTGATGAGCCAACGACGAGGACAAAACAGTTTGTCACTACTCTCTGTTGCTTTCCGATATTTCTCTAACTGATATCAAACTTGAAAAGAATAGTGGTCGGAAATTCACCTCCACAAACTAATCCTACGATGAACGTTTTAAATGTGTGTAGAACTGTATAATTTTCTCTCTCGATAAGACAGGAAATTAAGTCTTGTTGAGAGAAATTAGTGTCAATAAGGCGCGTTAAGGCTGTCTCCCCCTTTTGTGGCAGCTTCCACATGTATCATCAATACTTCGCGTAACTGGTTGGGCTATTATTTCCATCTTCCAATTGTTGACCTGGTAAAAGTACCTAACAATCGTCTGAATATTGTCAGCTTATTGTTAGTTTGCATATGTAGTAGTAATGATAATAATAATGGTATTTCATGTTATTGTGTTTCATCATTGCCGTTCTCTCGTTTTTTTTGTTTTTTTTTTCGACAGTTATGATGCCACTTCTTCTCTTTGCATATGGACGATTCTTTATTGATGTGACAACAGTGAAAATTCCATATCTTAATATTGTATTCCAATTATTACAAGTAGCTGTACCAGCATTATTGGGTTTAGGTCTACGCGTATGGAAACCGAAATGGGCTACAATATTTACCAAGCTTACACGTCCATTATTCACTTTCTTTATATTCTTCTTTCTAACTATTGGTACATATATTAACTGGTCATTATTTCGTCTATTAGGTGTTTATCCAATTGTAATAGCTACTGGAGCATTATTACCATGGTTTGGATTCAGTTTAGCTGCATTATTTGCATTGATTTTACGACAATCACGTAAATTGATTGTTACAGTAGCTTTAGAGACAGGTATACAAAATATTGGTGTTGCAATTCTTGTATTATTGTATTCAATGCCAAAACCAGCCGGTGAATTAGGCGCTATTATACCTATCACTGTGGCTATGTTCACACCACTACCATTATACTTTATCTATCTAGGATTAATAATTAAACGAAAATGCTGTGACAAGCATAAAACACCAACGCCTAGTGATCCAGCTGAAAAAGAAGCGTTGAACAGTAAGAAGACAAGTAGTAGTGGTGATAGTGGAACCAATATAATAGTTGGTAATAATTAACATCAGTCTGTTGTTGTTGACACTAATGAATACGCGAAGATTAAATGCAAAGATTTCTAGATGAAAGCAATCATTGTTAATTTTTGTTATTGTTCGTTTTTGTTGCTTTCTTATTGTTGTCTTTGTATTGTACCTTGTCTTGCCATGTCGAGTTGACCAGTGTGATTACTTCTCTATCATTTTTTACTAATTTCTGAATTTTCTTTCTAATATTTAACTCTTTAACTTAAAAAATATCAATAAAAAGTAATTCATTTTTGTCATTTCATTTATTTTTGTAGACAAATAAAGTTGCAAACTAAGATATTTTGAAATCTTTACTATCTGGTTTGTGTAATATTTTCATTTCAAAGAATGAGTTTTATTTTTATTTCCTTGGGATCTGGATGGAACATAGCGTTTCAACAGCACACCTCCACTTCACTCAGTTCTCTTTAATTCTCCTTCTTGTATTTCCTAGGTTCACGACTGTCCATAAGCTTCCATCTGCTCCCCTCTCCCCTCTGAACACAATCTATTCCATACTCTCCTCAAAGTGATACCAAACCATCTATTTCCCATTCGAGCTGTACTCGACAGTCTGTCGCATGATTTCGCTAAATGGTCCTTTCAATGTGTATCCGACTCATCACAATTTCTTTTTGCATATTTATCGAATTCTGGCTTATTGGTTGACTAACTGACTGACTAGTTTGTCAGTGTCAATGGGGCTAATGCTTTCTGCTTTGACATCTGATATTCATTCAGTAGAGAGCGGAGACAGTTGTCGATAAAAGTTATCAAGGAACTTAACCCTAAGTTCCTATGATTTGCGAAGACGCTTCGAATCGACTACTACTAAGTATGATTATCAACTTTAACTGCAAAATACAAGGACTTGTAATAAGAAAATGTATTCTTCAGCAGTTAAATTCAATCTATCATACAGAGTTTATAAACAAATGTTTTACAAATAATGTTTAGTACTTTTATTCGTATTCTTTCGTCTTCTTCCAACTTGTACACGATTGAATCATACGCACCTTCGAGTTGCCCGCAAATGGCTACCAAGGCCAACGAACCAACGTTCAGTGTTCATATTCATTTACAAAAGTCTTCAGTAGCCTGTTGGAAATACTTCTTGTGACGAGTGGGCGGATTTAGTTAATCAAAGAGAATCACTGACTGGCTTGATGTTCATGTTAGAAATGCCAATCAAGTTAGTTATTCATCGTGAGTGCAGTAGATTTTCACAATGATTTCATCAGAGTATTGATAATCTATCTGACTTTGACATCGTCATCCGTGCGTTTTCTTGTATTTGGAACGATGGTAGGTAGCCAGGTAAGTGGAATAGGTGACTTTCTTCGAATTTCTCCCATTGATAGTGATTGATGCTCGTTGTTGTCGTTGTTATTGATTAGGTTTCTTCCTCACTCCTGTCTTGTCTATATTCCCCTGAGGTTCTGTTTTCTCTGCCTGTCTCTTCGGTGAACTTATTGATTTACGCCTGTAGATTCTCAAGTTTGTACATCAGTAGCCTCTTCATCGAGTTTCCGGTCAATCTTCATATTCTTCGGTATTTTTGTTGTTCACTGGGTTCTCCATTTGTTTTCTACCTTCCAGAATTCTTTGTTGATATTCTTTTAGTCTCTTCAATCTTCAACATGTAACTGAGGCACTTATTTATGAAAGTTTTGCAGTGGTCTGTTGCAAATACTTTCAGTGATGCATCGAATCTCTGAACCATGGGGAATCACTGATTCGACATTATTGTCGATAGTTTTCACACTGATTTCATATAATGAGGGTCTTTCTTGATTTGTATTGATTCTATCTTTGTCATTTTCATCTATGCCTCCACTTAGGCAAGAATATGGTCACTTCCTCCAATTTTCTTCTGTTGATAGTGACTGATGTTTGTTGTTGTTCGTTGGGTGTCTTCATCATCACCTCTATCCTCTGCATGTTCCCTTGGAGTCTTATCTTCGCCTCCTGAGTCTCCTACCAACTGGTTTGTTTTTGTCTTTATATCCTTGAGTTTTTGTGACACTAAGCATAAAATCATCAGTGAAGTCCTGATCTTATAAAATCTTCTCTAACCTAATACAATGTACTCCGGTCTTGTTGTTTCCCCGCACCCCACGATCTGTTTCATGATCCAGTGCAACACAGTCAGGAAAATTAGTAAATATGATAAGTCTAATTTTTTTCTGTTAATAATTACTGAACAATACATACCGAATCCAGGATTGAATGGTGATATGCTGACTGTCTTTGTCTTGTTTCCTTGATGATTCGTAGATCATATCATATCAAATTGTAACAGTTATCCAGTGAGTGCTACATAGTCATAAACTGAGGTGTTTTTAGGTAGCAATGACATAGTTGATCTTGACATTTTTATACCAGGTTGAAATCTGTAGTGGTTGAGAAATTTTGTGAGATGTTTATTTTTATTTATTATATACATGCTATGAATCTTCGCGTATTTTTTTTCTTACATTAAATCCAGTAGAAAATTGGATTTAAGGGGAGTTGGGGGGCACTGAACACTTTGCGTGGACTTCGTTCAAAGTCTAAAGTGAGTCTCTGGATAGAAAGAGTAGAATAGCAAGCTAAAAAAAAAATTATACTTCATGTAACTTTGACTTAGATATTATTAACTCACAATATTGTAGAAAAAGTTCTAGCACTGTGTCTCTAATGGTTAAAGTCCTTTTTCTTTTCACGATTTAAAAATTATACCAGTGTTTTTCATAACAGGGTAATAATCTCATTCGATCAGGCACACTTTTATGCAGTGTTTTATATTTTCCGATAACATCTCTAGCAGGATTTCATATCTCATGATCATATACCATGGCATTCACATAACTGTGAAACTTAGTTTACACAGTTGCATTATTTCACATCGTTTGATTTTATTGGTTATATTATTTTCCACATTTCCAGTGTTGGCGCTGCATCATTTCTGTTGCAGCTGTTCTGTGTAGATTTAGTGACTAAACCCTCCTTCAACTTAGTTATATTAGCTTTCAAGAGTGTAGGTCTGTCATACACTATGGTTTGTAAATGCTTACAGTGAAACTCCTGATAATCTTTCTAAGGTAGTCATTCTGTGGAGCTAGGTAATATTCTTTTTTTACCAACTGGCCGTAAAGTGAGAACGTTTGTGATTCTGACTCTTACTGTCACAGATCTAAATCTCAGACGGAACATAACTCTGACAATATTGAATGAAATAATCAATAAAAATTTCAAAAATCACAAAAGACGTCTAATATCATCAGAAGCACGTCATATCACATAGAACCGGATTTGTCTGAATGGTGGAATGATAGACTAAAATAGAATTTTTGACCTAATATTCAACAACTCCCGCATACCTCTCTCATGAAATGACAAAATCAACACGAATGTGATGATCAATTTCATTATGTAAAAACATACTGCTTTTATAATTCTATACGCTTGTCAAATCGAACAATCTAGACAGGGTTTTTGTTATCTTTACCCATCGGCCAACTTGACGACGTAAAAATTACCTCATAGTGATGAAGAAAGATTAAAGTTGTTATATATAAGCTGAGTGGATTTTTTAAATTCTAGTTTAATATATTACTGCTTTGATAAATCTATCAGCTGCATTACTGAATAGCGAAACGTCAGTAAAAGCAACAATATCGTTTTGTTTTTCACTTATTGGGCAATACAAAAACTATTGAAAACAAGGGAGTACTGGACAGCTGTTTCATCAGCAATACGCAACCGCTGGGGTGCGAAACCGGGACCTTCCTATTACAAGGCAAGCTCGTATACCATTCAGCCACTGGGACCCGGTTCAATGGCCAGTCAACCTATGAATTCTAACTTCTACCAATTCGTAATTAAGCGCGACCCCAACCAATGTCGTCGGTGGGACATCCATCCTCACACGTGACTGGAAGGACCTCACTGGTTGGAGTTCATGAGCCATTGAATCGGGTCCCAGTGGTTGAATGGTATACGAGCTTGCCTTGTAACCGGAAGGTCCTGGGTTCGAACCCCAGTGGTGCGTATTGTCGATGATTCCCAAATTAGGATGAAACAGCAGCTGTCCAGTACTCCCTGGTGGTTTTCAATGGTTCTCTAAATGATATCAGTCCGTGGTCAACTCGTAAAAACAAAACTAACCATTACAAATTAAACTGTAGAAAAATACAAAAGCTTCTATAATAATGAACGTGTCTCCAAGTTTGCAGGTACGCTGTTACACATGAAACCCTTGAAACACTTTTCATTGTTTTCTGTTTTATTTGTGTGACCTGCGAAATTCTCTTATTTTTTTTACCTAGAAAACTCTGTATCAGAAAACTCGAAACTATCCTCTGCCAGTGACATATGAATGATTTGCAGGTACCGTGACCAAAATACTAATTATATTTCGTGGAGTAATTTAAGAATCTGTTATGTACTAGTTTTCCCCGTCGCCAAATTGTTATGTACTCGTCGCTGAATTATTGTTATGGACTGGTCGAGAAACTAATAGTCCTGACGCGAGAAGGCGGAAATCAGAAGACCACTAGGTTTGCGATGATACTTCTATTGTCCAAACACAAGGAGACGAAAATAAATGGTCTCACACCAAAGTGGTAAGTAAGTAAAGCAGTTGTAAAGTAAAGTAGTTCACACAAATTGTGAATGCGAATATATATAAATAATTCAGACAAGCGTGGGAAAAATCATTAGACAGTCTTAACATGAATGGCTAATTATAATGGAGTGTCGATCCAATTATACATAGCGAATATAGCAGACATGTCAACAAACATATATGGATATATGTCACCAAGCAACGGACTGTCAACAAACACTCATATTATATATAATATAATATAAGGAGAATACACATTATTAAAGGAGACAAGTCCATACAAGTGAAGTGGTCACAGACTAACCGAGCAAACAGAAAGAGAGACCAACATGCACACACACGTAAATATATATATGTGTGGATACATATCAGAATCCAAGGTATATATATCGTATCTCTTCAACTAGGCACATGTCCTACAAGCTGATGTAATTCCATTTATTATAAGTTGGATTCAGACATCTTCATTTCATGAAGTCATTGATTCGTTGGTAAAACCTACAAAGGGTGTTTGTGGAGGTTTTCATGATCCTATGGATCTGCATTCAGTGACTGTTCTACAGACTGGATTCTATCAGTCAGGTCTGCGATGTGGCCACCTCTCTAGGTAGCTCGCCATCACGATGCAGTTTGAATTATTGCTGTAGGATGGTTGGAGGCAAACCTGGCAAACCCATGAATTCCAACTTCTGCTAACTCACTATATAGCGCAACCACTAGTCAATATCATTGGTGGCGAGTATTTCTACTCACTGCAGACCTGCCGTACCCTACTGGTCGCGAAAATATATTGAATATACATTGAAAATATGTATATTGATATATGCCTATATTGAAAATTCTATTGAAATTTGAACTTAAATAGAATTATTTTAGGTTTCAAAAAGAATCATCTTTTTAAAGTAGACGAAAATTTATTCGACATTTGGCACAAACATTAATAATTATGAACTCAAATCACCATTTTCTTATTAATCGCAATGTGAAGAAACACAGAATCCTGTAACAGTATACCAATAATAGTGACTGGTGTATTACTGTTATTACTCATTCCCCCCATTTCGAACGAAAAATTCAGTTCCAGCAGTACACCTCTATTCCACTTAATCCAATGTCACCACTGTCTACTCGTTCCACGACTACTCACAAATTCCCATTTCCCCTTGCATCACATATTTGCCTCCATGTCACTCTCAGACATCCAAACCGTAGTTGTCTTCTGCTTAAGGGTCTAAATGGTGTGTGATGCCAACTGTAGGTCACCTCATCGTATATTCAATCCATTAATATATTTCTTTTAGTTTATTTGTTGAGCAGTAGGTTCCTGGCTAATTCATTGGCTCCTATATTTCCTAGTCGCCTATTGTTTTTTGTCGGCTACCTGATCTTCAGTATTGCAACCAAAGGCAGCAACAACGAATCAATGGAATTTAGAATTAGATTTTCATGCAACCAGTGATTTTCCTCCGTCTAGTAAAAACTTTATCCAACTGTTAGATGATATTCTCCAATGCTGCCTAATCAGGAACACACTCTGAAATGGGAAAAAAGGGCAGAATATATTTCAGTTAGTACATATTAGGGGT